GATACTATCTACAATATTCGTGGCTCTGGTTGGTTTTATTGGGGCTACATGACCATTGTGAGTCTCATTCTTCTCAACATGATGCTGGCTATTGTGATGGGGACCTATAAAGCAATGAGCAAAGATGGGTATCAGGGAGAGATTAACGTGTTGTTGGCTACTAGAATCTCCACTATTCATCGCTACCTGGTTCAATACGCACGTAAGAAGTTCTTTGCTCTTACTAAAAACAAAGGGAAGCCTATCAGAGACTTGATATCCAAGGTCGCTCGGCGCAAACCAAGTGAAAAAGATCTTGAAGCGATGGAAATCGACACCAACAAGTTGAATTACTACGATGTGATCGCGTACGGCAAATTCCGACCGCCGCTGTTGCTGGAGGTACTGAAGACAAAGCTGAAGCATGATCCAGCATACACTTCGACGACGAAGCTGACTCCGACGCTTCTGCGAGGCCTTTTCCCTAACTGCAAAATTTCCGACAAGGAGATGGTTGATACGTTTGAGTTCCTTCGTCAGGGGTTCGTTCTTAACGAAGCAGTCACGAAACAGGGTCAGGACAAGAAGCCCGTGTCGGGGCAGACGAAAGCTTCACGGCTGGCAGAGCTTCATCAAATCCTTGAAAAGACCCACAAAGAAATCCAGTTTCTGACTGCCAACGGAGCGCAATAATCTGTTAGTAGCAAACAACAGAAGAAGTAGCAACTTCTACACAGTCTAAATTTCAAACTCCACTCCATTGTGATTCTTTTTTTTTTCACGCGCAGACTTGTTCTTGTAGTGAAGCAATTGGGCATTGTACAGATAGAGTATACTAGTATTTACTGACAGGATGGTTTACTAATTGAAAAGAAAACCAAGTTCTTGATGTTTAAGAGAAATCACAATTATGGCAATGATATTATGCTTCAGGATAATCCACACAAAAGCTTAAGACGCTTGATAAATGATGTGGAGAACGTCCGATATGATTGCTGGGCCGAAGAAAGCGCAAAAGATGACTCGGGGGCCTCAACGCCAAAAGAAGAGGCCCTCACAGAGCAATGAGTATGTATGTAACTTTACCAACGCGGCACTTCTACTATCTTACAAAACAATGAGTAAACCCTTCTAATTTGAGAACATCGACAACGAACATCCTGTCGCAGTTGCGCAGACGATCTCTTCGTTCCGCGTCTGAATCAATGGCAATGTGTCCACGTAGGTTTGGATTGAGAAAGATAACCCACCAAAATTGGCAACTCCTGGATGAAAGTATGAGATGCGTCTCCTGCCATACTCTTTTGAGAGACGCTGCAAGACGGTTCTATTCAAGGCCATCCACTCACCGGTTATTGATGTTGTAAAGGAGACGTTCGTATCGTAGTGCGACGTGTCGAGTGGAGTGAGAAGTGGTCTTTGGCATACAACCGAAAGAGCCCACATTCGATCTCATTCGAGCTTTTGAGACCGATTCAGCTCTTGTCGTGGTGTCTTGGCTGACAATGGCAGAACCGCCGCTGGATGAATGCAGGCTTACGATTACAGTTCCCCCGGGCGCCCCGGATACCAGCGACAACTCCAATGAGATAGTTCCAGTGCCAAGCACTAGCGAACAGAGCAGCAACAGCAAGCACCAAGTCGTTGGCGTGCCCTTATGCATATGCGTCGAAGTGATGATACCCGATCTCCAACTGTTGAGAACAAAGTTACTCAAGAAATCACCAGTAAACTCGAGATGGCGATTGGAGACGCGATTACTGCTCTTGAGTTCGACTACTACGAACTTGGAGTCGCGCTGTTCCGCTTCTTTACGACGGTCGGGTTCTGCGTCATGTTCGCTGTTCTTGTGTAGCCTGTGTAGCCTGGAACGCCCAATGAGGAGATGTATACCCAATCCAACGCTGTGTCGGCCAAACTAGCCCCAGCGACTTCTAGCCCTTTCCATATCGACACTACAGTTCAGTTCTTTGATATCGACAGCGTTGACGATGTATACGATTGGCTCACGTACACATTCATCCCGACTGTCTTTGTTAAAACAGACCATACTGGCCGAACGTTGCCCGATTACCAACTCGATCACTTGGATTTAGCGAACCGAGTGCTGGGTGGTGTTATCCTGGAAATGACCCCGAGAGAATACAAATCTTGCGACAAAGAGTTTGTGCTGCTGGAGCTGTACCCTATGTGCACGTACATTGACTATCCTGGGAAACAACACATTTTTTGTATGTCACCTGGGATGCTGCAGAAGCGAAGGCTAAATAATCACTTTGAAGAACAGCGGATCATGGATAAACTACTACTCTTGACAACT